ATACCGACAAGCTTCTTTTACATTTTTACCATGTGAGTGTTTTTATATTGTTCCTGAATAAATGTCCTTTATACTGCACTTAGAGGCGCTTTTCTTCTTCTATTGTATTTTCAAAATGCGGCCTATAAGAGATTGTTGGAATACTGTAAAAATTAAAAACTTTATATTTTTGCCCACAAAAGCTGCATGAGGAAAGTGTTTTATCAAATGAGGCCTCCCAAAAATTTCTTGTGATTATGACTACGAAGAGGTTACCATACTACTTACATTTTGAACTATTAGACTATGTAGATGTACTATTTATGCTGTGTATTTATGCTAGCATACTACTTCCCCTGTATTCTGAAAACCAAAAATTTTACATTTATTCTATTCTTCCAAAGCTAAATGGTGATGCAGTTTAGGAAATCTGGCCCACAAAAATGTAAACATATTAGGTATGCTGTGTGCAGCATATTACTTGTATTACAATCAGAAAAAAAAACTCGGTACTAGTTACCATAGTATGGTAAGTGGGTTCTTAAATAACTTAAGAAATGGCACAGACTAGCATAGGTCACTGATTACCCTGTGCCCATACAGAGGACTTTTGATGTCAGAGTCTGGACCGCTTTGCACCACAATTTTAAGAGTAAAATGACTGAACCAAATTAATTAGCAGTTTGGGCAAGATGGGCCAATGAGGCCTACTTGAAAACTTCCAAAATCCTCATGGCAGTATTACCCAGGGAGTCAGAGGAAGAAGGTGAAATGTCAGAGGAAATGATTATGAGCACTCACTTTTTGGCAAAGACACTCATAAGAGATCTTAGTAGGCCCTTGGCAGAAGATGGGGTGTCCAGCAGTGTGAGACCTCCACCTCTGTCATATGATGGAAATGTATCCTCATATGTCAAATCACCAAAGGCATTAGCACCACTGAAAGAGTTTACCCATTCTCGGGTGCTGATTCCACAACAAACTGAAAGTAGTACATCAGGAAGTTCCAGTATAGGATCACCTAAAGGGGTAAGTATGCAGAGAAGCCCCCCAGGGGAGGCATCACCTCCTCCCCTCTATGAGTATCCCCCCTTCCCTTTTGATGATGATTGGGGTAAGGAAGAAGACACTCCGGACCACTATGGATGAGGCAAAGGGACCTTATTGTAATCTAAGAAGGGCTATATAAGGAGTGACAGACTCTATGAAGAGCAGGATGCAGGAAGGACAGACACTGTATTCCTCATATGTACTGTATATGTTCAATATATATATACTGTAATTCGGATCCTTATCTCATCTGAAGGTAATTATTCAAGTTTCCTTAAAAATAGAGGAACTTGGCAGGAGGTACTAACCGCACTACACAAAGTGTTACAAACCACTGCCTCACAAAAATTAAACAATCTCCTAATTTATAGAGAAATGACACCTGCAAATCAGGAGAAAATTGATCAAGCTCTTCATGGAGCAATATATGCTTCTAGATCAGCATAGTCAAATTGAAAATACATGTCGGCAGGAAGCTTATAAATTATTATGAGGGAAAGGGGTAGGGGTTACTTGTTCTCTTGTATAGTTGAAAAATGCTTACCATATACAGTCCCTGTTATTCCATTTGTAATAGAAAATACAATTTTAAAAAGCAAGTTTAGTTTATTAATTTCAAGCACGCTTTTATATACACTGTATTTCACCTTCCCATTGTAATAAATCATTTTAAATTTGTAAAACTACTTCACACTGAATTTTTCTTCAATGTTTGCAAAATTTCCATTTTTCCAAAAAAACTGAGAAAAAAACATTTTTTCCCATGGCTTCAAAATGTCTGGGAATTCTACATCTCTATTCATGTGGGAACTGACTAAAATTCACATTTTGTGTATGGCAAGCTTTACTGTTCTCTGAAGCCTGCACTATATGCTCTGCAGCAGATTGATTCTATTCTTCTTCAGGTGAAATTAGATTTTGTATAGTAGTGCTGATCGACATATTGGATTTTACCTGGTGTAGACTATCCTCAAATACCTGTCTAATGCATGACTACAGACATATGAAGTTTGTCATTCCCTAGAAGAACCATTTGTGCCTTGTTTGTGGAAAGGTACTTTGAAGCATTAGATTATATTTGAATTGCCGAATAAATTATGTATAAATTTGTACCAAATAAAAAAATTAGGATGTCTTATACATACATGTGAAAACAGTTGCGTATTAACTTGCAATATCCTGTGTGTGTGTAAGGGGGGGGGCTGTTAAGTTTGTTAAATGTGCACTCCCAGATTGCGTAATTAATAATGATGAAAATCCATTCATAAAAGGTGTAAAACATAGCACTAAACAACAATTCTGCAGCATTTATACAGCTTATGGAAATATGGTGGTGAAGGTGGAGGGAAGAGGGAGGGGGGTTATATTCCTTATGGGGCTGAACTTTTCTTAACTGACAATACAGACCATGGTGCAATTGTTTGTATAAAAAATTATACTGGACTGCTTTCATCTAAATCTGAATAGATGATGCTGTAGTGTAACAGGAAATTGTAATACATAAATCTTTGATTGCTGACTCTTTCTTCGAATCTACCAAACCATGTCAGCAATCACTGTTTACAGTATTGATATTGCTACAGAAACAGGGGTCTCCCTGGCCAGATCTTCAGTTATTCATATGTATTATTACTCAACTACTGGATTTTTAGCTCCTCATCAAATTGCACTCATACTCTACATCAGATTTAGGAAACCTCAGGTTTTCAGACACTCTACAAAATATAGTAGACCTACACATACACAATTGCACATACTAGGCAATATAACATGCTATACCATTCACTAAGGTACTGGTATTTCCTGGATGGGCTGTCAGCAGAACAGAAAAGTGGTGCAGTAAGTATAATGAAAGTTCAGATACCATATGCCATGTATAGTAAGGCAAAGCTGTTATTTTGCCTGGTATTGACAAATTACAGATTCATTTTAAAGACAAAGTTTAATCTGCTTATATTTTGCCTACCCTGTTCCTCCCCCCCCCTCCTTCCTCATCAACATTCTAATGACATTTTTAAATAAAACCAGTTTTCCTTACACATTTCCTTTTTTTAGAGTCTTTGTGTTTTTCTATGCAATCCTGGCAGTGGGGGGGGGGGGGGGGGGTTGGGGCACAGGATGCTGCAAGCGTCACAGCACCCTGCTTCATATACCCCTATCAAGTGCCCTATCACATACCCGATGAAGACTGGAATATTGCCTATCTTGCACCTCCTGCCCAACACTCCTGAAGGTGGAGACAGGGAATGTGAAGGCATGGAGTGGCAGGAGTGCCAGAGTAGCTGGTTGGTAATGTCTTCTTCTTAGGTGGGTAGAGCTGTAAGTAGCAGTCCTCAGGACAGGATTCTGGGCACCAGAGCAGAAGGTGGAAGCAAAGCCTGGAGGCAGGCAGTAGTCAGTGTCAGCCAGGCAGTGAGGAACCAAATTAGCAGACAGAGCACATCTGGGAGGCAGGCCAAGGTCAGTAACAGCTGGGCAAACAGTACAGAATCAGCGAGACAAGTCCAGTAAACAGGCCGATGTTGCAATAATCAGATGAACAAGGTTGAGACAAGAACAGAGTTAAAGTCCAGAGGAAAGCCATGCCAAACACGAGTAAGCATGTGTAGCAGATCGGGTCCTAGGAATACAGGAACAAGCTGAAGCATTTAGCAACTTCTCATAGTGACAAACCAATTTAAATAGACTGCTGGGTGCCAAGTGTGCACTCTAATTGCCATGCACATGTGCATGTATGTGTGTGCACGTGTGGGCACGCAAGTGCTCATGGAGAACCAGAATGATACATTTAACAATGCCTTTTCCTTAGAAGTACGAGCATGTGTGAGCACAATCATAGGTACACACTGATTTCCTGGTGCTGGGAATCTGGTTTACTTTACAAGCCCTCAGTCCTGATGCAAGCAATGGTCTGGAAATATCAAATGCCTTGATAAGTTGATATCAATCTGGAGAAATGGATATTTCTAGCCAGACTGCATTTGCATGCAGACTGCTCTAAATAACACCCATGTGTGATGCTTAGCTTCCATAACTGAAAGAACTGAAAGCCAATGAATCACAATAAATCCAAGGGATGGGCAATAAACAGTAAGGCTAGGAAGGAAAGCCCTCCTGCCAGGAAATGAGGAGGACTCTGCCTGACTTGCTGCAGCTTCTACAGCACACTGGAGTTCAGCTTTAGGTCGTAGCAGAGATATACTGTGTATATATATATATATATATATATATATATATATATATACTGTATATATCCAAATGTTTTGGGACCCCTGCCTTTACATGCACATGAACTTTTATGGCATCCCAGTTTCAGTCCGTAGGGTTCAATATTGAGTTGGCCCACCCTTTGCAGCTATAACAGTTTCAACTCTTCTGGGAAGGCTGTCCACAAGGTTTAGGAGCGTGTCTATGGAAATGTTTGATCATTGTTCCAGAAGAGCATTTGTGAGGTCAGGCACTAATGTTGGACGAGAAGGCAGTCTCCATTCTAATCCATCCAAAAGGTGTTCTTTCAGGTTGAGGTCAGGACTCTGTGCAGACCAGTCAAGTTCCCCCCCACCCCAAACTCACTCATCCATGTCATTATGGACCTTGCTTTGTACACTGGTGCGCAGTCATGTTGGAACAGGAAGGGGCCATCCCCAAACTGTTCCCACAAATTTGGGAGCATGAAATTGTCCAAAATATCTTAGTATGCTGACACCTTAAGAGTTCCCTTCACTGGAACTAAGGGGTTGAACCCAACCCCTGAAAAAAAAACCCTACACCATAATCCGCCCTCCACTAAAGTTTACACTTGGCACAATGCAGTTAGGGAAGTACCATTCTCCTGGAAAACGCAAAATCCAGACACGTCCATTGAATTGCCAGAGAGAGGCATGAAGTCCTCCAGAGGACTTCTCCACTGCTCTAGAGTCCAGTGGCAGCGTGCTTTACACTATGCACAGGCATTGCACTTGGTGATGTGGCTTGGATGCAGCTGCTTAGCCATGGAAACCCATTCCATGAAGCTCTCGACACACTGTTGTTGTGCTAATCTGAAGGCCACATGAAGTTTGGAGGTCTTTAGCTATTGACTCTGCAGACAGTTGGTGACTTGTGTGCACTGTGCGCTTCAGCATGCGCTGACCCCGCTCTGTCATTTTTCGTGGCCTACCACTTCATGGCTGAGTTGCTTTTGTTCCTAGTTGCTTCCACTTTGTTATAATACCACTATCAGCTGAAAATTTAATGGATGGACTAATTGCACAGGTGGCAACCAATCCCGGTACCTTGTTTGAATTGACTGAGCTCCTGAGAACGAATCATTCTTTCACAAATGTTTGTAGAAGCAGTCTGCATGCCTAAGTGCTTGAGTTTATACACTTGTGGCCATGGAGGTGATTGGAGCTCCTGAATCCAATGATTTGGAGGGATGTCTCAATTCTTTTGGTAATATTGTGTGCATATACTGTGTATATATACATATATATATATATATATATATATATATATATATATATATATATATACACTGCTCAAAAAAAATTAAAGGAACACTTTAAAAACACATCTCAATGGGGAAAAATATCATGCTGAATATTTATACTGAACAGGGCAATGTTTTAGGAACATGAGGATGCCTCATCGTTAGATGGAAATCAAAATTATCATCCTACAGAGGACTGAATTCAAAGACACCCCGAAAATCAAAATGAAAAAAAATGATGAAGCAGGCTAGTCCATTTTGCTAAAATTTCATTTTAGCAGCTCAAAATGGTACTCAGTAGTTTGTATGGCCCTCACGTGCTTGTATCCATGCCTGACAATGTCGGAGTATGTTCCTAATGAGATGACAGATGGTGTCCTGGGGTATTTTCTCCCAGATCTGGTCCAGGGCATCACTGAGCTCCTGGACAGTCTGAGGTGCAACCTGGCGGTATAAGAGGGACTGAAACATTATATCCCAGAGGTGTTCTCAGGCAAGCGTGGGGGCCATTCAATGTTACCAATTCCTTCATCCTCCAGGAACTGCCTTGATACTCTCAACACATGAAGCTGGGCATTGTCGTGCACCAGGAGGAACCCAGAACCCATTGCACCAGCGTAGGGTCTGATAAGGGGTCCAAGGATTTCATCCTGATACCTATTGTCAGTCAGAGTGCCATTGTCTAGCCTATAGAAGTCTGTGATGGACATGCCTACCCAGACCATCACTGACCCACCACCAAAACGGTCATGCTGAACAATGTTGCAGGCAGCATAACATTCTCCACAGCTTCTCCAGACCCTTTCATGTTTGTCACATGTGCTTAGGGTAAACATGCTCTCATTTGTGAAAAGCATAGGGCACCAGTGGCGGACCTGCCAATTCTGGTGTTCAATGGCAAATGCCAATTGAGCTCTATGTGCTGGGCTCTGGCAGTGCTCATCCTGTTCCTCTGTGTACAAAGGAACAGATACTGGTCCTGCTGATGGGTTAAGGACCTTCTATGGCCCTGTCCAACTTCCTGTGTCCTGGAATCTCCTCCATGCTCTTGAGACTGTGCTGGGAGACACAGCAAACCTTCTGGCAATGGCATGTATTGATGTGCCATCCTGGTGGAATTGGACTGCAAAGTCTGTAGGGTCCAGGTATCGCCAAATTCTACCAGTAGTGACACTGACCCTAGCCAGATGCAAAACTAATGAAAAACAGTCAAAAAAGATAAGGGAAAAAAATGTCAGTGGCCTCCACCTGTAAAACCATTCCTGTTTTGGGGGTCGTCTCATTGTTGCCCATCTAGTGTACCTGTTGTTACTTAACTGACCTCTGCTACCTAAATGACAATATCAATATCCCAGGAGTTTAATTGACTTGATGTTATACCCTGATTCAGAAGTGTTCTTCTAATTTTTTTGAGCAGTATCTATATATCAATCAGCTTTCACTTTAAATTAATTTCTGCTCATCAATTGGGTCGATTTTTTTTGGAGCATAGTTATGTAACTGTTTAGAAAGGATGTAGTTGTGTTGTTTTTATATTGTGCCATTTTTTTTCTCTAAAATGACACATTTTACCAACACTTTCCATTTCAGCACAGTTGGTGACAAGATAAAAAACATTTATTAAATGTGATAAATTTCCCTCTTAATGCCTTCTCTAAATCTCCCCACTGCTTTTTACTGTGAAGTGAAAGTCTAAGTAGACAGAAGAAAGAAAAGCCATGAAAAGATTTCATCTTGCTCTGAAAGGAAAGGGTAGTGGATGGACAGCAGCCAGTCAGATACCGGAATGTTAATGGAGGGTTTCAACTCCCCTTGGCTGTGTAACAAAGCATGTTAAAGTGGCTGGTGTCTAAGTAAAGTATATGTTATGAAAAGCATGTGGAGGACTTCACTGTGGTGTTTATTGAGTTTCTTGCCCCTCAGTTCACTTCATTTCACCACTGATGTTTTTACAGACATGACAAAAAAACAGTGCCTGTCAATCCCTTTAGTTTTTAGCTTTCCTAAGCTGCACACTATTACAAGGCCTAAGATACCTTTTTATTTCATTTATACTAAATCACTTTCAATTTTAATTTATAAATATTGTTTAATAAAGTGAACAACAAAAAGAAAAGTTATAATCCTCATCCACAGTTGATCCACAGGAAGGCAAAAAACCCAGCAAAGTATGATACAATTTGCTCCTGCAGGGGATAAAATTCCTTCCTGATCTCCCGAGAGTCAATTGGATATTCCCTGGATCAACTTTACCTATAAGGCCCCATGTACACGGGAAACTTCGAAACGATCGAAACTGACAGCTGGAAAACATAGGTAAAAAACCGTCCGTTTAGGTGCGTTTGCATAATGCGTTTATGTGCGGTTGCGTTTAGAAGCGTTTTTAAAGATAAGCACAGGAGAACCTCCCAAATGCCCAGAATGCACTGAAAAGTGGTAAATTATTAACTATTTCAGACTGTTTCAGACTGTTTCAGAGAAATACAGAGTGTAGAAGCAGAAACAGCAGTATGTGTTGAAATTAGCTTAGGTGGGAGTTACTCATTAACATTTCTTTTGTTTCTAAGGGTGGGAAAGGTGTCTGGTGGGGTGAGTCATTAAGGTCACCTGGCAGGGGGTATTCATGAGGAATTTGAAGTGTGAATGGTCATTAACATATCTTTTGTTTCCAAGGGTGGGAGAGGCCTGAGGTGTGAATTGGTCATTGCAATGTGTGACAAGCTTGGTAGGAACATCCTGTTTTCAGTGTTTTGTCCATCTGAGTAACTTGAAAACACTTTGCATGCATTTTTCATGATAAAAAAAGGCTCTGGACAGCATCGGGAACTGGAAGAGTTAAAAAAAAATTTCAGACGCAAATGCTTATAAACGCGATTTGCCGTGTTTTACAAGCTTTTACAAGCGTTTTGCATTTGAAACACTGATAAAATCAACTGCTGAACGCACGTTTTCTGCGTTCAAAAATAGACTGTAAACTCAAATGCCTATAAACGAAACATTAGGGTGAGTTCAGGACCCAGGCGCGCCTGTCACCAATGACAGCACCGGCAGGCACTAGGACCCAGGCGTGCCTGTCGGCGCTGGGCGGGCTGTTTAAAGAGCACCTTGGTGCTCATTCAGTGCTGACTGGTCTTCAGCTCCCCCTGTGTCCTGCTTGTTTCCTGTGCGATTTCCTTTGGTTCTGACTCAGCTTATTCCTGACCCAACTCTGAGTACTCTCCTGCCCCCCCGGTTCCTGACTTCGGCTCTGTTCCTGACTGTGGCATTTCTTCCTGATCCTGTACCACGCTGCAAGACTGTTATGACCCTGGCTATCCTACGACTCCATTCCAGTCCAGTGTCCTGGCTACATACCTGGCTCTGTTGTGCATCTGGCAATCCACTGTACCTGCCTGGTCTATCTCCACAGTAACCAAATCAGAGGATATCCTGCTTATCAAGGTTATCATCTGCAAGAGCCACAAGCAAAACCCTGGCGCTCTTGTCCCCCTGGTCCTTAGACGCCCTCTGTTCCAACCTCAGCGGGCTCGGGATTAGTGACATAAGTGAGGCCGACTTCGTCAATTCAGTCTCCCATCAGTTACGTGACACAACCTAACTTCCTCTTTTAACCTTTCACACTGGACACAATCCACCACCCACTCTAATGGCAACACCCTCTACCTTGTATTCTCCCACCTATGCACTCCCTGTAACCTCTCTAACACCCCTTTTCCTCTCTCTGATCACAACTTTATCAGCTTCACACTCCCCCTGTCTCCTACCTCCCATGCCTTCAACCTGTAAACTGTTACCTGTAGAAATCTCCACCACCTGAGACCTGACCTTCTTCACTCTGCTACTGAGTGCCTCTATGATAAAATTGCACCCTTGTCCTGCCCAGACCTGGCCACATCTGCCTACAACAACTATCTATCATCTTCCCTGGACACTCTTGCTCCTCTCTCTACATGCAATACCGGGCCTCGCTGTCACAACCCTGGCAAAGGGATGATACCAGGAGTCTCAAGAGACGCAGCAGTGCTCTTGAGTGAGCATGGCGTAAAAGTAAATCCCTGAAAGACTTTACCCTCTACAAATCCGCTCTTCTCAAATACAACTCCGGCTTCCACGCTGCTAAGCAAACCTACTACAACACTCTCATCAAATGCCTCTCATCCAGTCCTCATCAACTCATTTCTACCCTTAATTCCTTACTCAACCCCCCACTGCCTCCACCCACCAATGTACTTACTGCACAGGAGATTGCCAGTCATTTCAAGAACAAAATCAACAGAATTCATGATGAGATTTCCAGTGTCAAGCTTCCACCTCCAACCAACATACCAGGCCCAACATCACACTCAACACTCTCCTCCTTCAACCCTGTTATCACCAAGGAAGTTACCGAACTCCTTTCCAAGGCCCACTTCACCACCTGTCCCCTGTCCCCTCACGATTATTGCAGCCTGCTTCCTGCTCTATCCTAAACTCTCTAACCCACATCTTCAACCTCTCACTTTCCATGGGCACCTTTCCCTCCCCACTCAAACATGCACTGGTTACCCCCATACTCAAAAAACCCTTGCTGGACCCCACCTGTTTGAATAACTTAAAACCCATCTCCCTGCTCCCATTTGCCTCCAAACTTCTCGAGTGCCTTGTTCACAACCGTATGAACTGCTACCTCACCAGCAACAACCTTCTTGATTATCGGCAGTCCTGCTTCCACCCACAACATTCCACTGAAACTGCCCTACTAAAACTCACTAATGACCTACTAACTGCTAAAACCAATGGCCATTACTCCATACTCATACTCCTTGACATTTCTTCTGCCTTTGACACAGATGACCACCTGCTCCTCCTCAGTAAACTCCACTCCATTGGCCTC